GGGCTGTTGAGATCTCTTGAGTCTTGATATAGAGGAGGGATGGTGGCCCATTTCTGTGCGGGGACTTCATCCCTTGTTGCCTAAAGAACCCCGTATCTCTAGTCACGTGCTAGTGTGATCTCTGAGCTTACCACGCTAGGTCCTGATTCCGTGCCTTTCTTCCGTGGTTCCTTTCCAGAAATGCCCTGCTCGCCCTGTCCCAACACATCAGACAGACTCATATTTATCATTGAGGACTCAATTTTACTTTTCTGTTATTTTTGTATATCGCTCCCCCGTAGTGAATCTAGGGATTTTCTGTTAACTTCTTTCATTACTGTTACTCTAACTAATCATCAGCTTTTTGTGCCTCCTGTTAGAAATTTGAGATACGCTGTATTTGTCCATCTCCGTCCTTAGCACTCAGCCCCGGGCACTGAGTAACTTGATAAATCTTTGTTCAACTGTCAATTTTGAAGACATTGTGTTCATAGGGTTAGCAGAAAAGAGAAGTGAAGCCATACTTATCAGTTCTAGTAGGTCCTCTTACAAAGAAAATCTCCTTTCAACTAAATCATATCTAACCATTAAAGGCTGACCCCTTCTGTTTTATGTAATAAATGACCTCATGTACTTGAAGGTAACAAGCAGATTTGTTGAAAAAGTATATTTACTTATTTGTCTATGAGAGAGACAGAGAAATGGGGACCACCAGCAGGGTCTCCAGACCGTAATCTACTCCCAGTCTCAGCTGGTCCAGTCAGTGGCACCCACACACCTGGTGTGTGAAGAGAGGTCCCGGACACAAACGTAGGACTGAGTCGTGTCGGGCTACCACAGTGCCAACCCTGACCCAACAAAAGGCTTTGACCCAAGATTTCCTTTGTGCTCAAGTATCAGCAGTTGCTTTTCTGCATTATTTATTTATTTTCAGTTTTGGATTTAATTTATTTAACATATTGTGTAGGTTTGAGGTTGACATGATGTTGTGAGATACGCTGTATCTAGACAGTAAAATGGTTCCTCTCATGAAGCAAATGCATGTGTCTGTCATCTCACATAGTTACTTTTTTTGGTGAAAATAGTAGCAAAAATGTACTTAAAGATTTACTTAGCAAACATCTCTAATACAATTTTATTAACCATGCTCCCCTTGTTGTACATTAAATGTATTTATTGATGCCATATATTCACAGTCCTGTGGCCTAGCTGTTTGGTCTTGGTTATGAGGAAAGTGGACAGACTTCCATGATAGACAGGCTCCCCCGCTCTCCACAGGGCTGTGGAACTACACTGGGGCAATGTCAGGTACATTCCTCTGAAGAGAGAAGGAAGCTCTGAGGTTAGAAATCCTCTGAAAGAAAAAACTCCATGCCAGGTAAAAAGATCTTTACATTTTTAAAGATCTTCTAATCCCTTCAAAGCTTCCTTTGATATGTGTGGGATATGGAGCAGGAGGAAAGACCTAATAGGAAAAGAGACAGAAGAAAAACCTAAAACTGTATTTGAAATGATTTGATCCAGAGTGACTTACTTTCTAAGTCCTCAGCAGCAGTGTTTTGGGCTATTTGGCGATCTAGGCTATGTATGGTGGCTTTTCAAGAGTATGCACAGTACGTTGCTATTTTGGGAAGGTGGATGGCATCTAGGGATCTCAAAGAAGATAGCTTTTCATCTCAGCAGTTTCCCAGGGCAAGGTTCAATGAAAATGGAATTTTAGGAAGAGGGACCATCATTCTCAGTTTGCCAGGACCAATCCTAGACTGGACTTGATGTTCCAGCCTAAGTATTAATAGTGCTGTCTTTGGTTTTCATAGTGTCCTGACCTGGAATGGTCGCCCTGATTTTGGGTCATACAAGGTGGAGGATGTTGGCATGATGAATGAGAAGGAACCACACTCCAGAAAGAGGAGATGAAGGGAAAATGATCTTACGAGGGCAATTCTGCTTAGGGTTTTCCTTAAAAGGCTCCTTGTAATGTTTTCTAAAATGCCTTGTGGACCTTTCTGACACGCTTGTCGAGATCAGTTTATTTTTCTTCACGGCAGTTCTTAGGGGGCCAGTGGGTCTCGGTGCAGCCTGCATTAGTTTTAGACTCAGGGCAGCAGTGCTGCATATGTGTGTGACTCAAGCCTAGACGGATTGGCTGGGAATGGGGTGATAAGAATAGAGAGAAACACATACCAGTAGACCAAACTTCCTGTGCACAAGCCTTTGAATACTGCGTTTCACTGTCTGAAATAGCATTCATCTTAAAGCTGGGATCATTTATTCCTTCTGGAATTAAGCAATAGCACTGGCAGCAAAAGAAACTATTTTGGGAAGGAGATGTAGGAGGAGCTTTGCTATGTGTAACGTGCTAGGCAGAAGTACCTTTCATGCTTTGTAAGGCTGTACCATTCATTAGAGCCCTGGGAAATGGAAATAGACAACTTTCAGATAATCCCAAATTAATTGGTACCAAGGCTAATGTATGCCTATTATGATCTACAAAGCTTAGCAGCACCTGAGGTTAGGTGCAGCAACTTAATTATCTTAATGGCAGAAAGGGAATTTGTCTTTGGAGATAAGCCTCTGCTGTAGATGCTGCTGAAAGGGGTAAAAGAGAACATCTTGTCCCATCCCTCTTCTTACATCTGCCTTTGCAGGTTATTTTTACATCTTCCCATGTAGATTTTTCCAGATCATTAGGGAAATTTGAAATAAGGCAACGAATGCCTTGTCCTTCCTGTTCCCTCCCCGTAAAGCTGAGGTGGGTCGGGCTTGGCAGCTGGTAACAGCTACAGAGATAAATAGGCGCCAGGGCTCCTGATGGACACTGCAGAAGAGCCTGCAGTGAGGCTGTGCAGCTTTGTGGCTACACAGTGTCTGCCTTGGGAAGAGGCCATGAGGACCAAGCTGCAGCTGGAGTCCAGAAGTCCAGGCACTGAAAGGGAGGTGGGACCTTCCAGGAACTAGTTCAATAGTCCTTTTGATCCAGCTATTGCTCTTTTGGAGGGTCGGGGAAAGGTACTTTAAACAGCCGATGAAGTCAGATACACCTTAAGTGACTCCTGTCTTGTCACTGTGTGTTGAATGAAAACCCAGGAGTTACGATCATCTAGTCCCATGGACTTTTCTGTTCATTCCTACTTCAACTAATAAAGCACTGACTGTCTTCTGAATTTCGTGTTAAGGAAGTAGCTCAAACTAGAAATTGAACACAGTAGACCAGTGCTGCTCATTCTTTTCCTATTTTGTTCCTGATAAACAGCTGGGAAAGTATTTCCATGGAGGGCTTTTGAAGTCTCTTTGCAGTGTGGTAAATCTCATCACAAGAGGTGTTTTGGTTGTTGTTGTTTTAGGTTCTTTCTTTCATTTTGGTATTGGAGTTATTGTGATAGGTAAAGATGTTGAATTTCCCTACCCAAACCTCGTCTGGGCTTATGAGAAGCCTTTTGTCATTATGTCTTGTTGTTTACAAACATGTAATTAATTAAAGTTAAAAAGCGTGTGTGTCTGTTTAGCATGGGGATCCTGGTGCGCTTAGTAGTACCATTATAGACATGAATGGACTATATATTGATTTTGGAAAAAAAAAAATGAACTATTTTATTTCCTAGCTAAATGAATCAAAATTTATTAATCCCAGAGTTTGAAATATTTTGATGTCTTTTTATCTGGACCTGACATAAAATGTTCCTCATTTGATTGCAAATTTTCTACCTTTTTACCATTTTAATTATTCATGTGAGAAATTAGTAGAAAAGACCTTACATGGTGACCAGGCATTAAAAAAAAAAAGAAAATTTTGAAGCATTTCCAGAAAAAATATTGACATAGATTTGTCTTTTGAATAAAGATTCTGTGAGTAGATGTTTTTCTCTTGCTATGTCTAACAGTAGAATAATATTTTTATAGGAAATCAAACAATGAATTTTTGTTCCTGATAAACAGCTGGGAAAGTATTTCCATGGAGGGCTTTTGAAGTCTCTTTGCAGTGTGGTAAATCTCATCACAAGAGGTGTTTTGGTTGTTGTTGTTTTAGGTTCTTTCTTTCATTTTGGTATTGGAGTTATTGTGATAGGTAAAGATGTTGAATTTCCCTACCCAAACCTCGTCTGGGCTTATGAGAAGCCTTTTGTCATTATGTCTTGTTGTTTACAAACATGTAATTAATTAAAGTTAAAAAGTGTGTGTGTCTGTTGAGCATGGGGATCCTGGTGCGCTTAGTAGTACCATTATAGACATGAATGGACTATATATTGATTTTGGAAAAAAAAAAATGAACTATTTTATTTCCTAGCTAAATGAATCAAAATTTATTAATCCCAGAGTTTGAAATATTTTGATGTCTTTTTATCTGGACCTGACATAAAATGTTCCTCATTTGATTGCAAATTTTCTACCTTTTTACCATTTTAATTATTCATGTGAGAAATTAGTAGAAAAGACCTTACATGGTGACCAGGCATTAAAAAAAAAAGAAAATTTTGAAGCATTTCCAGAAAAAATATTGACATAGATTTGTCTTTTGAATAAAGATTCTGTGAGTAGATGTTTTTCTCTTGCTATGTCTAACAGTAGAATAATATTTTTATAGGAAATCAAACAATGAATTTTAATTGCGAGCATTAAGTCTGTAGTAGTGAAGGTATTAAATATTGCTAAAGGTAGTAATCGGTGGGTGGAAAAGGAGATGGATAAGAAATGGAGATTTTAAAAAACCTTTGCAGTGTTAGGAGAACTGATAAATCGAAACAGGCTTACTGAGTGTTGGTATGTGCTGGGTCGGCCCTGGGCTCGGTGGCTACAGGGGACAGCCAGGATGCGGTTTGCGAGGAAAATTGCATATTGTAAACCCAAGTTTTGTCTTCATCTTTCAATGCATATCCGTAACAGATGACTGGAAAATCAGCACTAGCAAGTGTCTATGGGTTTGGGTGTGAAATGAAATCACCAGCGGATCCCCCAGCCTCTTCAGCTGGAGTTGTGTCCATTCTCCCCAACTCACTGGCGTTCCCCTCCTCTCTGTGTCCTAGGAGAGACAGCGTCTGGAAACCATCCTCAGTCTCTGTGCTGAATACACAAAGCCTGACAGTCGCTTGTCCACTGGCACCACTGTGGCAGATGTTCAGAAAATCAACAAGGAACTCGAGAAGCTGCAGCTCTCCGATGAGGAGTCGGTGTTTGAAGAAACCCTGGTGAGCCCTGACACAAGATACAGGTGCCACCGGAAAGGCTCCGTGCACGATGCAGACCTGGTCGGCTTTGGCAGCCTCAGTCAAAGCAGTGCCAGCTTCCTCACCCCCAGGAGCGGCAGGACCGATGAACTGCTGGGTGACCTCACCAGGACTCCCCCACCACCATCCTTTCTGAAAGCCTCCAGCGAGTCCTCTTATCTAAGTATCCTACCAAAGGTAATGGTGGAACAGAGACTGAGATTTAAGCCAAGGGCTATGCTTCTGCTTAGGCCTGGAGACTAGAGGTTTTGTTTTTGGAGAGGTTTTTGCGATAGAGAGCGTGCGCTTGCCAGAAAGACAGAGAGAGACAGAGAGACAGAAAGCGAGAAATCATCCCCCAGGGGGGATGGTCACGCTGCAATCCCTTCTCCTCCATTCTCCTCTCAGGATCTTGGGCATGCATGCACATGCACCGGCGTGAGTTCTAAGCCACCGGGTCCAGGACGTGAACCGCGGTTGACTACGTGGGAATCCAGCGACATAGCCATTACGCTGACTGTTGGTCCTGGAAACTAGAGATTTTATAATGATAATTTTCCAGAAGTTTGCAGTGAAATTTAATTAGCTGAACAAGATGTAGTAAATTAGGATGTTTATGATAAAGTGAAAAAATTGCATTATTAATACATAGCACAGATGAGTAGAAAGGAAATTTTCTCTTTTCCTCATCGCCTCCCAGTTTATACCCAACAGATAAACAGTTAAAATATTGGAAAGACCTTACCTGCCTTCTTTTCTAATGTTTTCTGTGAATACATAGCTAGACAGGAAGGTCTTCAAAAAGTTCATGGAAAATGCATATTCTGAAAAACTATGCATGGATTTAAAACTTTTTGGACTGTGATAAACTCATCATTTAAGTCAATTTTTTTCTAAGCGCTTTTGTATTGGAAGGCCAACAACACACAGTGTGCTACACTTCCTCTCCCCTCCCCCCCGCACTGGCTATCTTGAGCATTTTTGGATATTAGTATCTACAGTTCTACCTCATTCCTTTTTTTTTTTTTTTTTTTAAGGGGTTTTTTCTTAAGGGCTCCAACAACTCC